TGATATTTATATTAAAATATTTTATTTTCGTGCTTTGAAATAAGGAAAAAGAACAATTTTTTTATGTCATTTCTACAAATCTTTGGATATAAAATTGTTATTGAATAGAAAATGTATTAACTAATGAAAATTTTGAGAATAAGAATTGAAAGCCCAAGAATAGCCAACCAAAATGGTGTGAATTGGTTTTAAAAAAATTTTCAAAAATTTATCCAAATTTACGCAAATTGAGAACGAATAAGTCGATCAAACAGGTTTGATCCCAACCAATGATCTATGTCCTCTATTACAAAGCACTCCATCACGATCAAAGCCTTTTCATTTGATTGACTTATGGTGCATTCCAAACCCTTACAATGCTTCCAGTAACTTACAAACAATGATCACCTATTCTTATACAATATTAAACTTTTCAGGTCTTCAATATGACCCATAAACTTAAAGAGAAATGATTTTACAATTTGAGACTTCTCTCTTAATAAATAATATAGCCAAAATTAAGTATAAAGAGAAAAATAGGCTAACATTTAATATATAGCAATGAATAAAGTTCAAGTGTAATGTGAGAAAAATTTTAAATGAGAAGAAAGATTTCAAAGGTTGATTCAATCAAAAGCTTTTCAAAGTAAGAGAATTGATAAAGATAAATAAGATATATCAATCTAATTTAGCTCAAGAGTATCTCACTTAAAGTGTTCTAAAAAAAGTATGTAATGAATACAAAGTGAAATAATATTTATAGCAGTCATAACACAAAACTTTCTAACTAAATGGACAATTAATCCAATCGTCCACATTTTGAACAGGACAACCAAACTAGCCGTTGTGCATCAGAATTCAAAACAGTTAAAAAGTGACCGTTGGATGAACCGAACGTTCGCTAGATTCAATCGGACATATTTTCCCAAATTTTTCTTTCTTTATTGCTTCGAAAAATGTAGGCTTTTGAATGATGTTTTTCACTTCATTTTTCAAGGTAAGTGATATTGTAAAGAGTTTGAATATCAAGTTGAAATACTTACTTTTAAAAATAATTTTTTATGCAAGTATTTTTATGCATAAAAGTTCATTTTTTTGAGCTTTTAACGATTCATTGCTAATGATTAAAGAATTTTGCATTTACATATGAATCCAAAACATCTAGGTCTAATATCTTTGATGTTTGACTATTAAAGTTCTTATCTTCGAGTGATTTGATGTGAATGCTCGGCTTCCATCTCGAATTTTATTGAACGTAAATTGCGAGTATTTTAGTAGCAATCTTTTTGTCTCCAATTGATCAACTATGTAAATTGAATTCAATTGTTATAGATAAAAACAATTTATTTGTTATAATCAAAACGTGAAATCAATCATAGATCAACAAGAATGATATGAAAAATTGCTTGAAACATAAGTGCTATAATGAGCAAAGATTAAGAAAAATATGTGTAATTAAAATGTGGTGCAAGGGAAAAAATTGTGTTGTGAATATAATTATCCTTTTACAATAAAGAGCTTAAAGCATGTTTGGCAAAAAAATAAAATTAATATCTCATATAAGATGGGGCCCACAAATTTTATGGATCAAACTAAGAGCCTTTTTGCAAGGTTTTCGGAGAGTTTTAAAATGTGTTTGAATAATTTTCTTTAAATGATTTGTGTAACTAGGAGAACTTTTACGAAAAAGTTAGTCTAAAGTAACTTCTTCAGGAAACACTTCTACAAGACAATTTTATAAATTTGCAATTTGCAAATTTGGGCTTATAAAATAAGTTCTTCTTTTTTTTTCTTTTTTTGGTCAAAAATACTCCTTAAATTGCAATATGTCTAACAACTTACTTGTTATTCTTTCTTAATGGTTAATTGCAACTTGATCGTCAAAGGCTACTCGAAATCAACTAGAAATATCAAATTTGCCGTTACAAACTTAAATCCCCATAAACCCTAAACCGCAAGAATTGTCCCTTTTCATTGAGTTCAATCTACTGTTGCACCTAATAAATATTCTAATAAAAATCAATTCTTTCTATTGGCCGATTTTCGGCTCTATACATATTTTATTATTCTGCGAGTTCAAATTACGTGTTGTCGTGAAAATTGAGTTGTAAATTAGCCTCTGTTTGGTCCCATTAAGTCTTATCAAATTAAATTAAATTTTTCTCTCTTTTATTTTTAACAATACAATGTTCAACAAAATAATATTACACGTAAATCGAAAATTTTTAATTCTTTTACAATCATTCATTTTAAAAAAACACTATTCTCCCATTATAATCAAAATTAATGGGATCAAACGGGGCTTACTAATTTGATAAAACTTGAAAGTATAATCATAACGTTTAAGGTTTTTTCAGGCTCTTTAATTGCGTGTAATTCCTAAAGTGAAAGTATAATCATAAAGTTTGAGTTTCTCAGCCTTCGAGGATGATGATGATGATGGGGTGAAGGTCCAATACTTTTCTCATAATTAATTGAATCACATTTATATGCCATAATTTACTTATTTTACATCCTCTAATTAGCTTAATTCAAAGCCTTCGGTTATATTATTATATAGAGGCATTTTCAAGAATGTCCAATTGGAGTTGAAAAGTGTACTTTTTTTATAATCCTTGCAAAAATATCCAATTTTTAGATCAAAATATCTACTTTACAATCATGAAAAGATTAATCAATTTTATATCACTTTGGCACAATTTTTAAGAAGAGCAAATAACTTCCACGAGAAGCCACAATAATGTTGCTATTACCTAGGTGAGTCCACTTGCTTACATTTTTAATTATATTTTAATCAATTATTCTAGAACAAATGAAGAAGAAGCAAAAATTTCATTAACATATACGAAGAAGTATATGATTCCAACTTCAAAGAAATCATTTTAAGAAATTTATTGTGGTAGAAATTTGAAGCTGATTAGGCTTTCATCATTTGTCGGTAGAAGGTATATTTCTTTGAACTCTATTTCTTCGAACTCTCATTTTTTTGATAACTTTTATTTAGTAGTCGTTGTTATATATATTCAAATCTCAATTTTTCGATAAGGTATTTTTTCCCTTCTATGGACGAAATTATCCTGAGTATATATTTTTTGTACCATTCATCTTAAATAACTTAGTTAGATAATATACTTTTGTATTTAGAATATCATTTATGGTGGAATAAATTCTTACAAAAATGGTGGTTGAAGTTGAAGAAGATGATAAATGCATGAAATCTCGTCATTTCATTCTCGACATTTTATAAATGTCGATAAAGATAGTATAAATATTGTTCACGACATCTATAAACGTCAAGAATGATATTTATACTATCATTCTCGACACTGTCAAATGTTGACAATAACATTAAAAATTTGAGTAAGTTGGGGAAATTTCGTGTATAGCGATTCACATATTGCATGCAAGTACCATTTTCGTTTTCGATTTTCGTTAGTGGTTGACAGTATTTTTGTTTATGACATGCAGATATGGGAAATGTTAAGAGATTTGTTGTCTCGTATGGTGGTAGCTTCGTCAACATAGACGACGAGTGGAAGTGGTTAGGGAACCGAACAACATCAATTGTTGTTCGACATGATATTATATATGATGAGCTTGTACATAAATTATTCGAGAAGCTGAATGTTGATAGAATGAAGTTCCGAATTCAATTGAAATTTACAGTTCCGAACATGAATATACCCCCTGCTGATGTAGCCGACGATGAGGATTTGCAATGATTTATCTCTATTCACACAGAAGCGGCGTTGTGTATAATTGCAGATAAATATAATGCTGGAGAGCACGAACAGCATGTCGAAGTTGAGCCTTTGTCACCAATAGAAGATGCATTGTGTGGACGCGATGAAGTCGGTATGTGCGAACTACAAGAGCCACAAACGATTGATAATATGGATGAAAGTTTAGGTGAAGGTAATTTATTCGAAATGTAGTTGAGTCGATTGATGAAGAGGACATTGTGGAGAATCAGATAATTTTTTAGCAAACAACAGTTACACACAAGGCTTCAACTTAAGGCTTTGAAAGAGAAGTTTCATTTCAAGGTTAAAAGGTCGAATCCTAGATCTCTTACTGTGTGTTGTGTCAATACTACATGCCATTGGCTAGTACGAGCTTCTAAGATAAAAACTTCAGAAATATTTACGATTCGAGAGTACATACCTGAGCACACATGTTCTCTAGACGTTCGACGAAATGCACAAATTCACGCAACGAGTGCAGTAATTGAGCATCACATAATGTGAAGGTTGGACGATGCAAACCAATCATACGTTCTTGCGGGTATTATTGGGGATATGGAACGTGAGTTTGGTGTACGGATTACCTACAACAAAGCGTGGAAGGCTAAAGAGAAAGGACTTCGATTTCTTCGTGGTACACCCGAAGAAAGTTTCCAGAAATTGCCATCATATTGTCACATGTTAATCGAGAAAAATCCAGGAACTATTGCACACATTGAACTCGACTCGAATAATAGGTTCTTGTACTTCTTCTTAGCGTTCGGGCCTAGTGTACGTGGTTTTCGAGAATACATGAGGTCAGTAATTTGTGTTGATGGAAGTCATTTGAAGGGCCAATATAAGGGAACACTACTAGTTGCTGCAGCGCAAGATGCTAACCTATAAATATATCCTCTTGCGTGGAGTGTTGTCGATGGGAAAACAAATGCATCGTGGTATTGGTTCTTTGAAAAGTTGAAAGATGTCGTTGATGATTCAAACCAGCTAGTGTTTGTGTCGGACAGGAAGAAGAGTATTAAGCGGGCAATTACGAGGTTGTTCCCACTTTCTCACCACGGTGCCTGTATCTGGCATATCGAGAAATATCTTATTACTAGGTATAGTAGTAGCAATGTCATCTTCTTATTCAAGCGGGCAGCGCTAGCATACTGCATATCGGAATTTGATCAGTTCATGATACAGATAAGAACCATTTGACCATCAATGGCATCTTACTTGGAACGTGCCGGTATATACACCTAGTCACGGGCACATTTTGTTAGTAATCGGTATAACGTTATGACGAATAACATTGCGGAGTCACTGAATTCAGTCCTAAGGCGACAAAAAAGTTTTCCTATAACCTCGTTGATCAAAAATATTACATCATTGATGCAACGATGGTTCTACGAGAGAAAAAGTGCATCCACGAAATGTAGTACGACTGTGACACCAAAAATTGATGATGAATTGAGAAAATCATTCGACACCGGTGAAACTTTACCAGTATGAAATTTGGACGAACTCATTTTTGAGGTAGGTATAGCTACCGAACTTTGTACTGTCGACAATATAGGTAACACATGTTCATGTCGAGAGTTTCAGATGCGACAAATCCCATGTTCACATGCATCCCAAGCTGCTTGCGCAAAAAAAATCAATGTATGATTTGTGCTCCCCTTACTACACCACAAAATATTGGCGAGCTGCGTACAACGAAGTTCTTCACCCCGTTGGCCGAGAGTCAGATTGGGTTGTTCCTCAGTCTATTCGTTCCATCGAAATTTTGCCCCCGAATATACGTAGAGCACCAGGTCGACCTCCTACCCAACGTCAACGGTCAAGAACTGAAAGGTCGACGTTGAGACGAAAATGCGGCCAATGTGGGGATTCTGGACATAACAGGCAAACGTGTCAGAATTCGACATCTTTAAGTGATACGTATACTTGAATGACATTATGTATTCCGATCGTCAAATGCCCTGATAACATGAATTATCAATGTTTTAAATTTTTTTCTTTTGTATTACTTGCTTTCTATCTCTTGTTTTAAATGTTGTTGAATATATTTTTGACTTCTACTTCTTTCTGTTTCTTTCTTCGTTCTCTCTTGATATCACTTATTTGCAATTGCTTGTGGTGAAATTAAGTTTATAATACATTTTGAATCCTTTATACGAATTCATCCCTTTTTTGTGATTTTTCTCTTATATTATTCTAGTCGTTCAAAATTTTATAGTGCACAAACAGGAAAATTCGTATGGACATTCATTACATACAAACAACACTTCATTTTAGAATGTCATAATGGATACAAACAAGAGAGGTCAGGTTTGGGGTATAACTACCAACAAGGGAAATGGTACTTACATATATTTTTATGAGCATTTCACTACGATATCATTTTGTTCATCATATAAGTGAACAAGCACATATCTATTTCATCACTGGGATTTTCTTAAACATTGTAGACACAATGTGGTAATGGATACAAAAGCAATCCATAAATGACTCGTTCTCCTAAATCATTGGAGAAGACAAAATGGTAATCACAACAAAAGAAAGCTATAACTCCAATACATATCGTAAACAACTATTATACAAAATAGTGATCATCCCAAAAAATATCCATCACCTATATGGATTTTATAGCACTACTATATGCACGTAAACATTTCACTTACGATGACTGCATCTTCCACATATCATCCACGACGGACAAAGAGGACATATCACTGTCATACTCCTCGTCGGAGCTTATGATGATCACATCTTCATTTTCGACGGGAACTGCTCCAACATTTTCATCCAACAACACATGATGTGCTTTTGGTTGGACCGGTACTGGGACAATTTCACGATGAACTTGAATTGGTTCAATTTTGTCGATTAGATTCGGAAAAGGGATTGATTAAAGGCAAACCCTACGATGGCGGTTTGAAGGTTGACAAACATATGGAACAAATATTGCTTTCATCATCCGAGTCCGAGTTTATGATGATCGGGTTGTCCGCGGACGACCTGGGGGGGTCGAAAGTGATAGTAACATCAAGAACAGGAGTATGTTGAGTTGATGAAGACATGATCAACGGAAAAACTAACTAGTGCTATGAATTTGTTAAATTCTCGTATGTACATATTTAAGTAAAGTCCAACAATTTATAGTAGAGAAAAACTTGTCTATTAAATGCACGATAAGATATCTCACCAACCAATATGATTGAAGTCATTCATGGTGATTATTTTACAACTTTTTTCACATCAATATGGTTGAGAACGTACTTGTGCTTGGCATACCAACTTTAACTACTATAGTAATTATAAACCTGCTTGCTACAGTTTTTGCAGTTAATACACCATTTGGTTGCCTTTACTCTTAGTTAAATTTGGCTGGATCATATTTATGTTGACATTTGATGCCGTTCTCGACATTTGTAACGTCGTTATCGGCATTAAATAGCTGTTAATCTCGACACTTGACATTACGAATGTCTAGAACGACACTTGGACCAAAATACGATATTTCTCTACATTTCTTCGATTTCCGGACATTTGATATGTCGTTCTCGACATTACATAGCTGTGAATCTCGACGCTTGATATTTCATTTGTCTAGAATGACAGTTCGAGAACATATTACATAGCACCATACAAATTGAAATATGCAAACGACTGTGTAAACCAAAATACATTTTACGTACCACCACATAAAACCAAAATTCATGTTATGTACCACCACATAAAATAAAATACATATTGCAAATGACGGTATCATGAACCGACTGATCATCAACAGTCACACAAGTAAAGTACAGCTAAGCCACGACAACTGTTTCACTATTGGGGATAAAGAAAGTATTCGTTATTCAAAAAATCGACCACAATCTTTCTTCTGTATATTGACATCCTCTCTGCTGAAACTGGTTCTATTGGATGCCCGAGAACGAAGCATTCTATATACTTGAGTACAAACATTAAGCAATTTGTCCTGTACAATAAATGATTTTTCGTTAGTCGAAATTAGTATATACAATAGATTAACTACGATAGTAAATAACAAGAATTGAAATGCTCACCCATTGTTCGCACACGGTAGATAAGGTGTAATCTCCATCTTCATTGGATCATTTATATGTTTCTTTATATCTCGTCTGGTGGACAGGGGTAGACACTGCAATAATGTTTGAACGGCTATGCATGTTGCTTCTGCATGAGCCTTGATTGCATCAGGTGCGTGAACATTATTGCTGCAGTCGTATATGTAGAATTTCCATTCAGAAATATGGACCAGAAACAGATAACATTCATTGCCTAGATATGAACTTGGAATTAATAAATACTTGCATTCCATCCACGAACGACCAGCTACAGGCAATGTACCGTTGACATAGCCTTGTAGGCGAGTTCCATCGGATTCACCTCTCTGGTTATATTCCATGTGTCACCTCATTTGCTGACAACACTCCTCTTCAAATTGAAAATCCAAAATTGTATATTTTTTATTGACGAGAGTACAATCTTCATTCATATGCTACCTCAATAACTTCAGCTCCAGCTCAATATGCTAATGCAATAAATATATGTAACATATATTAGACATATTAACTACGAAATCAAATTTATTGTGATTGCAAACCTTCACTCACCACAAAATTCAGATCCTTCGTCGGATCCATTAAACTTTTTAGCATGTCTCTTCCATAGACATTGTCACGGCCATCGTCCAAATATGCACTATATAACATAATTTAAATTACTGTCAGTTAATTCAACAAATAATTTTTGACATAGATATAATAATGTTTAGCATTCGGACTATTCAGAATGAGTTACATTTGTTACCCAAATTGATTTCTCGATATCCAATTCCTAATGTTTTTGTACTTGTTCATGTCGTAGTCTTCTAAGGGACGGCCTGTGGATAACGAAGCCTATGTGTATTTCATCTTCTTTTCCCTTTCTCTTCTCCGCATGTCAACACTTTCTGCTGGTTGAGACGGTGATGTCTCATGAGGTTGAACAGTAGGATTTGGACTTGCATGGAGAGGAACATCCTGCTGCATGGAACCTATAATGGCTTCCATGTTGGATTTTCAGTTAGATAATCTATTTAGCATATTCTCATTCTTTTCGTCAATGTAAGATCTGACAAAACATAAACTTGTATCAATATAAGACTGTATGTGCTCTTGTTGCTACTGGAATAATTCTTCTTGTTTTCGAAGAATCGCCTGATAATGGGCTTCTTGTTGTTGCGATTCCTGGGCCATATGAGTGCTAAACATATTTGATAGAGAATTATCCATGTATGACTGCATACCACATAGCATGTAATCTTGCATCGATTTGTGAAACAGTTGCTTTTGGCTTTCAAGGATATCCTAGTTCAGGGCTCTGGATTCTTCAACAAATTCTGCCTTCAAGTTACCACACAGACTAGACACATCTGATATCGTATGTTGCCTGTACATACCCAACATTTCTTCCATTCAGTCTTCAGTTACATATCTGGAGGCACCAGAAGCAGAACTAGGCTCAACTCCAGTTGAAGTTCTCGATGTACCACGACTGGTCGTTTCTTGCACACGGATGTTATCTGGTATTTGTGGTACTACATTATCTACTTCTCCAGTGACAATGGCATCTAATATATTATGTTCATCGTCATCCAACAATGAAAGATTTGTGTACCAGGGTGTTTGTAATTCTTTCTCTGTAGGTTGCAGCACTGCAATGACTTCGATCTGTAATCATAACAAACTATCATAATCCATTTGTTTAATTGAACTTGTTAATAATAAAATGCGAATGTCATTCTACATTGAAAATAAAAAATTCATACATCTTGAGTATCCAAAAATTGCTTAACACCTGATTCCTTTAGTATAGTATTAGGCCTCAAATTATAGATTCGAGGAATCTGCACCGTTATGTATTTACGATGACCAAACTTTTGTCCAATTCGTGGAAACGCTTCATATATCCAATATTGCAACGTAAAGAAAGAGAAATGTGATGTATAAATTTTATTCTTTGTACAAAGAAATTATACATAATACGTAAGTAATTAGAATAGGAACACAATACCTGAAATGCGAGTGGATTGCCTTGTAATGCATACTTACATTCTGTTTGTCCATTCTGTTGCATCCTTAGTATTCTTTCCAAGTGTGACTCTTTCAATGAATTTAACAAAACGAAATATGCTATCCGGCCCCACAGATACGTAAGGAACTCATCCAGATATTCAACCATGCCCAGAGTTCTATAATCAACTTCTCGTGAAATCGATTTCAACACACACTCAACCAACATAACTAATCCCAACTTAAATTTATCTTCTGTATCTTCACACATGTGGAAAGTTTCAAAAAAGCATTCTATTGCTAATTTTTTTGTGCCATTGAAGTATTGATTTCTAAGACGATCGTTATTATAATCAATTTCTACGGATGGTTCATGGCAAGGTAGTCCAGTAATGAGGCAAAATTCTTGCAGCCCAAACCTAGCAAGATGGTCATCTAATCATACCCAAAGTTCATTGTTTTTGCCACAATGCATAAATCTCATTATAAATTCGTGTACCAACTTGCTAGTAAATTGTTCTTCGTCTCCTTTGAAAACAGCTTCATATATAAATCCATAAAAATTACTACACATCAAATAACATTGTTGATTTGCATCTATGAAATTTCCACAATTTTGAACGTATTGACGATTTGGATACTGAAGGATGGTAGCAGAAAATCATTGTTCTGGAGAGAGAACGTTTCTAAAGACATCTGCATCAATTATACAAGAATTAATATTTTTAAACAACTGTAATTATTTTTTCAAGAATTAATATTTTTAAACAACTGTAATTATTTTTTCAAGAATTAATATTTTCATTTGATTGTACACATCTATTATAGTAAAGCAAAGTACTGTTAATTGTACAATTATTTAAGA